CAAAGAAGACCGCTGCAGGTTCGGTGTCGTCAACAAAGCCGTGGCCGTTTTCGATACGGACTTCTGGTCTTCGGGATGTAACAACGAGCTGATGCTGGCAATCAACCAGCAGAATGCCAACATTGACAGTCGAGGCATGTTTCCTTACTTCATGAACACTAACAAACATTGGACAGGAACGAATGCTTTGCTTGGCTTCGCAGTGGGAAGATATGCCATCGCCTCGGAGCAAAAGACCGATGCGCAAGTGGAGGCTGACTTCATGTCCAGGATCCGGCAGCAGTTTCCCAACGCTCCCAACCCCACCTACTTCATGCGAACGAAGTGGGGGTCCGACCCCTTCGCCCACGGAAGCTACACTACTCCTGCAGGTCTCGATGCTAAGATGGATGAGATGAGGATTCTCAGTGGGGCCGTAAGTGCTTCCCTCACACTGGCTGGAGAGCACACCCATCCTAACTGGGCTGCTACGGTGCACGGAGCTTACCAATCCGGCCAGCGCGCGGCAGCAGATATTATGAGCGGGACGGCAACAGGCTCTTCAAGTCCAAGTGATGCCAGCTCCAGCATCTCCTCCGCAGGTGTTTGTGCGTTGGTGTTGCTGTACAGGCTTGCCGAGTGCTTTTGAAGCAGTCTGTCACCGACAATAGCCTGGCCAGCATTGTCGAAACCTGGATGTGCACGAAAATTCACCGTTTTCAAGCAACACCGAGATGGTGTTTCTGTCGGTGCCGTCGCAACAGCTGCAGGTCCGTAAAAGCATACCAGCGCGTTGCCAGATTTTCCGAGCACCACGAGCTGAACGATCTTTTCACTGTTTTACAACTCTACGCAGAAGGAAAATCAACTCGGCAAGGCGTTGGGGACGAACCACATTCGGGCGGAAAGTCTGATGTTCCAGCGTTGACTCGAGCTTTGCACAGGCTGTTGCCTACATGGTTCGCCTCCTACGTGTCCCGCTTGTCTTTGGAGCTGATGACTTATAGTTCAATGCTATGTAGCTTGCGGAAATTTCACGCTTTCTCGGATCTATGGTTTACCGGTCGGGGTTTGAGGGTGTATGCTCCAGGGTTTGGAAGGAACTGGGTCTAGGTTGATTTCAGGTAAGGTTGTAGAGTTACAGTGTAAAAAACTGAGGATCCAGTGTTTCGGTTCATTGGGCTCAAGGGTTGCGGCACCTGAACCCTCAACAGCCTGCACCCATGGCTGCCATGGAGATTTTGCTCGTTGCGAGTCTCTGTCTCAGCACGGCATGGGCCCTGAACGTGATTGTGGTTGGCGCAGCTTGCTTTGCAAGCAAGAAAGCGTTGTCCTCTGCCGGTTGTAGGTGTAACAAGCTTGTGTTTGGCAATTTGGGTATGGGGAGATCGAAGAAGCCAGGCAGGGGCT